GTCAAAAATAAAGGCGGAATGGCGCGAAATAAAGGCCAGGAATGGACGGCTCGCGTGCGAGCTGCAAATGGATCTGCATTAATTAAATTAATGGTCAGTCGTAGTCGATAGGAATGGCGGGTCATTGGTACGGCGATCGTACCCATAGACCATACAAAATGGTACGGCGCCGGCCAGGGAATCGCGGCTACGCTATCGACCTACGTCGTTTCGATTTTTCGCGATACGCGCACCGCGCGCAGCTTATTGTTTGCCCTAACAGGGGCCAGAGACTCGCCTCGTCTATTTAAGCAAGCGGAAACGTTACTTAATTGTTTTATTTACTCGTTAAACTCGAATTCAAGTCCCTTTGTTCTGCGCCCCCGAGGAAGAGCAAACAACGATAGCGCCTAAACGAGTCAAGCGAGGGTTACGGGGTACTTTAGCTTCTTATTTGATGCTTGACGCGCTAAACTTTCTAGCTAATATACTCTTATTAAGTTTTTCATTACACTTGCAACTGGTTAGACGGATGAATCTCATAGACCCGAACTGCGAGCTGTATTGTTCAAACACTGATCTTCGCTTCAACTCAAATTCAACGTTAAGCTCATTAAATTGGAACTTTGCGGCGTTAGGGGTTCAGAGTGCCTCCAGGTTACAAAGGGTTATATCACAGCAGAGAATACAGCTCGAAATGCGTGTTTGTTCGAGGTACATCCACCGCAACGAGCTTAGCGATATTATCGTAACGACAACCGCGTCCCATCGATGACAAGGGATCGATCATTCGCATCAGCGATACCGAGATGGCGCGACGCGAAAAGAAGAGCAGGGCGAATCGATGGAGATTGCTGATTTTCAGCACGTACGGTAGCAAATTTTCGGCTGGGCTCCCGGTTGTGCCGAGGGTATTTGTAAAAGCACGTTTAGCGGGAATACGTGCTGGCCAGGGACAGCAGGGGGAGAAGGGCGGACGGTCGAGCCGCGCAGGGTAAAACGATGATAAGAGGCGAACCGGCGAACGTTAAGTTTCGAAACAAGTGCGATCGTAAAAGTTGCAAACTTGAAGCTGCGCCGGCCGACGAAGCGAAACCGGGCGAAACCGGGCGAAACTGGCACTAAATATGAATCATAAAAGAAGCATAAAGATAATTGTATGCTAATAGGCGGAGCGTATGCGCCACGTCGCCCCGAACAGCTCAACATCTCCCGTTATTACCTACGTAGCTGCGTTATAGCACGTATACGCCGTGCACGTTCACTGTTTCTCTGTCGTAAAGTTTCCGTGATACGACGTTGACACGATCTAATTCTGTATGATCAACTCCGGCTGCGAGCACCTTTTGGGGGAAAGTGGATAACCCCCTATATCTTATCTTTCTTTTATAACGCCTCGAGGTCTGGCATCTTCACGCAAAACCCGGCTTATAGTTTGCTTCCCGTGAGAACGGTCTTCTCGTTCGCCGACCGGCTCGAGCGAGTTGAATTATAATGCTTTTCCGAACATTAATAGCATGAAAAGTGAACGAAAAAAAAAGAAAATCGGGAAAGCAATTAACGAAGTTCGGTACGCGCTAATTGTACGCTGGAACGAACAAACGACCGCCAACTTCAATACTAATTATCCCGAAAATATTTTTGTTCTCGAGAAGCGTGGACAGCGGTTTTCACGGGAAACTAATTCCGTTTATTCCAACAATTAACTCGATCGGTACGCCGGAAACCGGGAAAAACTCGAGGAGGACCGGAACTTATTTCGCGGGAGAGCCACTTAAATTTCCAAGCAGACGCTCTCGAGTTGTCCGCGGTCGAAAAAGCTAAGCGGCTGAATTTATTGCTCCGGACAAAACATTTAGATATCCGCGAGCGAGAGTTTGCGATTCTCTCTCTTGAATTCGAAGGATGCTGCTCCGGGTCTCAAACCGAAAGGAGGAGCCCGGGAGGCGGACAGCCGGGATACAAGACAGTAGCCACGTACCATGGAGGGGTAGCCTTTCACGAGGTCGTGAATTGAGAACCGGAAGACCGAGAAGAATCTACTTGACCGTGTCGCCCGACTTTTAGAGTCGATCGTCCCGAGAGCTTTTACGGTCTTGACGAGAGAATACCGCCGCGATGTGTAAACCATGAGCCTCTTCGACGGTTGCACCGGCCTTTGAAACTCTCCTTTTCTTTCCGGAACCGAAGCCAAGGGGATGGAAAATGGAGTAGGCGGGTTCGGCCTTGAAAATCGTATCTCTTTCAGGAGGGTTGCTCTCGGACTACCCCGACAATCTCAATTGGCCAGTCTCTGTTGTCAAAAGAAGCTAGTTCTTTTCTCAAACATTGAATTTGTAATCGCAGCACAGTCGAATGGAGGAACTCGCGATAGAAACAGGAATTCCATGGATCTACCGTCTGACGTTCGAAACGGTAACGGTATTATCGATACTGCAATTAATATAGCATCGACTGTGCGACGTTCCCAAGAACAACAGACCATATTTCGAGTTCGAAGCAAAACCAAAGCCCTCGAAATTAATAGTCGACAGTGTAACATTGGTACAGCGGTAACTTTTACGAGCGGAATTACCAGAGCAATGACGGCAGTCCCTTTGTCCCACCGCGAACGTTCGGACGTCGCCGCCGCAAGGTAGGGAAGCTACCGGAATCGAATTTTCCGAGGCTTGTTACGGACCGATTTGCAGGAGAGCTCCCCGCCTTTGAAGGCATCTTCGAAATACCGAACCGAGAACCGCACGGACAATTAAAGATGAACAATGCAGTAGGAATATCGATGTCCCCGGCCTGGAAACTATGCGCCCGACCGAAGAAGCTTGGTCATCTAGCCCTTAATTCGTGCTCGAGGGGTCGGAAGTCCTTCGAGTTACCGGGCCGACTTAAGTTTCCCGGGCGAAATTTCCGGACACCGCGATAAAAGTGACGCGGAAAAGGGGGAAAACTGCCGCTTTGTCCTCAAAGCTGAGCGGCGCGTCACGTGCGACCAATAGCGGAGTCGAGGGCAGGGCTTTATAGGGGCAAACGAGGCCACTTTAATTTACGAAACTTGCTCGACATGCACGTCCACCCGGTGAACGTTGATTTACTAACGTACGTTGAAGAGAAGGGGTGAGCAGAGAGCGAGAGAGAGAGAGAGAGAGAGAGAGAGAGGGAGTGAGAAAGAGAGGGAAGCAGGGCACTAAGCGCAGCGATTCGACAGGAAAACCGAACAGACATCGAGGGGTGGCGCGAGCGTGAGCTACCTACAAAGGATACTCCAGCCTAGCCTCTCTGTGATCGGAAGCTGTCAATATTTGTCCGTGTCCGGTAACCGAGTAGCCAAGCGATGAACCGTAACGTCATCAATTATCTCTTACATACCGCTGGCCGAGCCCGATGTCAAATTTCGTCTGTTTCCCCCCGGCCTCGTCGACTTGGCCGACCTCAAACCGCCCCACACCGGAAACCGTCCCCGCCCCGTCCTCGCCCCATCTCTTTCCACTTACCTGGAGAGTGTCGGCCGAGCCAGATTTGAGTAAACCGATGGAAATTGTCTCCAGACCGCCGAGAGAACAATAATGACCCGGTCGAAATTCCGCTCCGATGGAAATTGCTCGGCCGGAATGTCGAGACCCGGTCCTCCATCGCTGAATCGATACACGGCCTCGTGCGATACGAGCGGCTACTCTTGCCCAACGCGCGTGCAACCGGCTCGCTGACTCGCGCGAATATCTGCCGGCCCCGGGGAATCGGAGGATATTCGCGGCGCAACGGTTTCGAACGATAATGAGCCGGGGCGAACCCACCTGAGACAATCTTCGATTCGAGATTTTCTTGTCCGCGAGCGACCGGCATCTGTTCTAAACGGGCCTCTTTGGAAAAATCAATGTTTCAAATATGTGAATGTAGATTCCGATTGAAGGATAAGATTCGGAAGTTTCAAATCGAATAGTTGAATTTAGATAAGGGGCTAAGAGGTCCCTGTTTAGTTTCTGCGCGGAAAGTTGCTGCATCTTTGATAGAATGCGTGTTTTCGAATAAAAATGTACCACTAGCGACGTAAAGTTGACTGGTTTCCATAAAGAAAGTCCAGAAGTGAATAATTTCTTCATTCTCCCAGGTAGACACGCAACCTTAACCGCGTTTAGGCGAGCCTCGAACGTTCGATCGATTCCACCGTTTGATAGCGCAACACGGAATCGCTATGGAAAAGGAATGCACGTCCATGCTGGATTCTATGGTATCGTTTTTATTTACAAATTTGACCAGCACCCAAGCGGATGGACCAAGCCGTCGGCCGAGTCCAATACCCGAACATCATTACAAAAGATACTCTAGCAGGTGTCTTCTAATATATTGTCTCGATTTCCTTTGTGTATAATCTCATTCCACGGGTTATGTCACATTTAATTCACTACGGTTATTGTTCACTAACGTTAATAAATGGTCCTCCGTTCGTCAGCCACGAGGAAACGCGAAGTCTCGACTCGTGACGCGAGAAGAGAGAAACGTTAAGCGTGATAGAACAGACGGGTGACGAAAACAATGAAGATGTGGATCGAAAAGATGCTTGATTTCTTGAGTGCGTTCGGTTATTCGATAGGTGTAGCGTACAAATAGACGTGCAGGGCCCAGAGTGCCGAGCTCTCGGTTGTTGAATCTAGCAGAGAGGGGCGACGTACACGTATCGTCATACAAATACTGTGCCAGTTCAGATTCGCAGGTTCTCTTATCGTAACGTTTGCCCAGTCGTTGAGTAAACGCGGTGCCTTCGAAAATCACCTAGATCATGTTAATTGCTCGCCGGCAGCTACGCATCTCTTTCACTAAAGCTGCTTCTACGGAACGATCGCAATATCTCTTTTTCCTTTTTCGTCGAACGAGTATTCACTCTCTTCTTCTCCTGTTCTTCCTTGTTTCCTTTTTACTCGTATCAGAGCACGTGTTTGTACTTTCGCTGGTCCGCTCGTTACTTTGGCGCATCTCAGTCGGTTCGATCGATTCGAAAATGTTGCGCATTTGATCGCTTCCTGCGGCGGATACATATATATTCACGGAGGGATGCATCGAATATTTGAACGAAAGACCCGGACAAACATCCGCGCTCCTTCCATCGGTTGACAAAATGGTCCGGCCAAATACAATCGGGATGTTTCGAGGAAATAGCATGAGAATGGCACGGTCGTTGGAAGCGTGATATCCGATTTCCTATCGTGTTTCGTGGATGCTCAGTGAATCCCAGGTTTATTAGCAGGTATCTAATCGTTCCATGGAAGTTTACTACGCGGCGTTTAGGTAAAGAGATCGAAGCTGACGTGAAACATTAGCTATAATTTTGGAATGGATTGCGGCGGCGGCGTGAGGTTAGGTATACTCTGAATATCGTCCAACGATTTCTTTGCCGCGGACTGCAGATCGTCCATGCCGCGTTTCGTCAGGGTCGTGATATCTTTCATGTCCGCCTGGATTCTCTCGATGACCCATTCGATCGCCATGCGCCCCTGAAAAGTCAACCACCCAGAAACACTTTGTTACTTCCCGCGTAAGTTTCTCCCGCACCTGTGGAATGAAAATCTTCCACGATCGATCATTCCGTCCCCCTCGACGGGGGAATATTTCATAAAATGCATGGAAACCGAAGACCTCGATCCGCTCAAACTGACAATCTCGCTTCCAGACGTCTTGCGCAACTGATCCAGGAAGGTTTGCCTTTCGCTCGATTTCTTTCACACTGTCCCATACGATTCCGTTCACGCTGGGTTTTCAGACACTCTTTCGTTCTCGCAATTAGCATTCAAAGACTGAAGTAGTTCGTATTAACACCATTCATACGTCAGTTCGCATCATTTCGTTTATACAACACGACAGAAATCGTTCGTTCCAGAATAAGCATCAACATCATTCGAACCAATTACTCTGAGCATGCTAATTTTGTAGCTCATTCGCAACGTCAAGTAATGAAATTCAATATGAATCGAATATGAATTTCAATACGAATACGAGAAAAGAGGGAGAAACATAAAATCATTTACCTTCTTCGCGTTCTGTTCAATAGTTTTCGTGAGTAGCCTCTCCATTTGATCGATTAGAGGTATACCTTTGATGGAAACGACAGCCTGCTGCGTTAACAGAGTTTTGTTGGGGTCTTCTGGGTCCGACGTGTATCGAACTTCCTCGCCAACCGAGATATGCGTGCCCAAACTCAACTGCAAGCAGAGGAAATAACACGGTCCGCGGTTAGAAGAATTTCCAGCAATTCGTGTCATTGGATGCCGGTGGTCTCTTATTTCAGTTACGTGTTCCCCGTATCGACCGTGTTGTGCAACGCACGGGGTTAGCAACCTTCAGATAGATGGTTAGCTGCCATTATCGAGATAAAACGTTTCCACGAAAGTGACGCAGAGCCTTGAATAATCGATGCAACGAAATAAGCTCGGCAGCACCGTGCTCGCAGTGGTCCTCGTGACGGGGCTAAATCGCTGCTTGCTGACCGCTTCTCTAGCATTGTCGAGCCTCGTTACCTCAGCCATCGATTGTGAAATAAAAGCTACATTTTGCAACCAGTCAAAAAAACGCCGAGGTTTCTTCCTTCCTTTCTCCTTACTGTGTATTCAGAAGTTCATGGAAGAAACCTTTATTCGTCCGTCCACGCTAAATTCTCGTCTAACACAATGGACAAATTTGTCCACAAGAAAATCTTGAGAGTACTTTGAAGCGACAACTAAATGTATGTGCTATTTACTCAGTAAAATCAAACTCTACGTGGAATTTACATTTGTCCGACCACGAACATCTCATTCCCCTTCCACGCCGGATAATGATTTAATCTCCGTCCATTGTCGTATAATTTTATTCCAACTACAGCAATCAAGACCATCGTTCCCTACAAACGTCGAATCGGTATGGAACGCGTTCAACTGCAAGTCCGGCGATACAATTAAACAAACGGTGTGTCTCGTAGACACGAGCGAAAAAGGACGATCGCTAAAAAGCGAAAAGTGAATTAGCAGTTTCGCGTTCCGCATGTGATCCCCGAGCGCGAAGCGACAAAGGGGATAATTAGAGTGACGACCGTGCAGAAGGAACGAGTACAGGGTAGGACAAGAGCAGAATCCGACTGATCTCAAAGGGCGACGAGAGCGCAGCGCAACAATCGCTGGGGCGCCGCCATCGCGCCGCCGCGTGTCTCAAGCTCAGTTTTACCCGATCCGCTGATGAGGCGACGGGTTTCTGGGTAATGATGATGACGCGCGTCCGCCACTCCGAAAATTGCATCATTATGAGCCGCGCGCCGGCTCGCCCGCCGCGGTGCAGCGTGAAGCACTGTGTGGCCGCGGAGCTGGAACAATTGAATCGCGGGGGTGCAATACGTTTCACGGGGGAATTAACGCCCGGGGCGCATTGTGAATCCACCCTGACCCGAGATATAGAGACGCGGTGTCCTCGCTGCTCTCCGCCATATTGGCAATCAGTGAAGTCGACTGTGTTACATCGTGGCCGACTGAAACCCCCAACCCTCGGGCTTCGAACCCTCTCAGCCTGTTTCGTGATCCTGCTGCTCGTCGGGCTAAAAAGTCCTCGTTAGGAGTGACCGTGTGAACTTTGTTTTCGAATATCCGTAACTTCGTCAGGTTTCGGTTTCACTCGAGTAAGCGGTTCAGTTTCAGTTGAAGTTTGACGAACGGTTCGGAATCAACACGACGATTAATTAAAGTCTTCGAGAACAAGGGCGAAAAGAAAATATTTGAGCTCGTCAGTTTTGATAGATATAACGAGGCGACACCGTTCAACTGGACCGAACGCAGTTCTTTGTTCCCGATATCGACGGGATCGCAGGACATCCATCACGTAACAAGAACTTCTGTCCGCTTCGTTCCCATTTCATTCGTTTGAAACCGCTTCAAGGGTATTACGAATGACTCGAACCTTTTTGTTTCCCGGCGGTCCTTTAATTTATTATACGCCGTACCGCAGATGACTGTGACTTATTTAAAAGCGGTCCCCAGTTTTACGCGGGTCGCCCACGATTTACACCGTTCGCCCGGCGCGAAGTTAGAAGTAATTTCATCGTGAAAAGTACGGGTCGGGTAAACGGAGTTCTTTTCACTGGAAGTAATTAGCACTTGGCGCCCCGTCCGGGCCCTTATCATTTAAGCGTCCCGGGAACAGTGGATCGGTCGGCCCGAGGATGTACAGAAAACAGATGAAAGGCGAGGAGAGAAAGACCGGCGGCGTGCACTATAATTGGCAAGACGAACGGTCTCATTGTAGCTCGCGTAACGAGTCACGGCGAATGCGATAAGGCGCAGCTTTTTTTAAGTGCGATAACGAGAGGCCGGCTCACTTGACGCGATTATACAATTACGTTCGCCGGTGTGCGCCTCTTCAATTTATAAATTGGAGCCTCCGTTACGGACGATGGGTAACTTTATGCCTGTTCGTCGCTAAGTCGCGTCATTTGAAATTAACGTCGGGTGAATTTTTCAGTCGCGCACGGCACACGACTAGACTACCCGACAAATTTCCGTTGACCGCGTCCTCATGAAAATCATGCACACCAGGAATTAATATTCGATTGAGAGCACGACCAGCGAATAATGAATCAGGAAATAATTTCGAGCTGCTATAAAATTGATCATAAACGTCACCTCGGCGAACGAACGTCGGCTACCATAAAAATCCCGCTCAGCTTTAACTCTACTTTCGCGGAAGTGGGTTTCGGGGGAAGATTCGTTCCAAACGTCGAGATAAATCCGAAAACATCCGAGGAGCTCGGATCTCGCTGAGCAAAGATCTCATCCGGCGATTGTTTCGGCGAGACGTAATCATCTTTGTCGTCTTACAGCCGTCGGCGGCTGGAAGGGCACGAGAGCGATGCGTCGGTATCAGCGCGCGACACCGGTAAAAGGGAAACGCGAAAAAAGGTAAACGGCCGGCACGCGATTTAATCCTATCAGGAGAACGATCGATCCCTCGGCCGGCGTCAACGACGAAGTAATTAATTTTCACCCCCCGTTTTTTGTACTCGGGCCAGGCCGGAGTACGAAGAGCGTACATCGTCGATCCTATCCCCACTCGGGCCGCGATCCCGGCGCATCGGTTAATTGAAATTTTTCTCGTCAGCCGCGCGTCGAAACCGATGTTTGCCAATCCCTCGGTCTCTGCATCAAGCACGGCGTTTGCTTTTCATTTACCGCGGCATTGCGGCACGGTCACGTTTAGTAGCGCTGTTAGGGGCGAAAGTCGTTAACGGAAATCTGAATCGCGATGAAAAAAAGGCTGAATCGAGCGCGGAGCAGTCTTGGAACGCTGCGCAATCTTATCGGAGTTTCTTCTCAGCGTCACTAACGTTTATCCTCGTATCTTTAATCGTCAATTCAATGTCTCTAATCGTGAATCACGAAAGCAAGTAGCTCAACGTTTAATTAGAGATCGAGTCGCGGCAACAGTTCAATTTCCGATCGTCGAGCAACAAAAATCGAAATGCAGCGGGGCATTACCGAGAATTCGGAGCATCGAAAGAACCCGAGGCCTAGCCGAAGGCACTAATGGCATTGTTAGGAAAGGAAGGTAAACTATCGCGCAAACACGGAGCGGCGGCGTTCTCCAATCAAGAATTCTCGTGATTCCGTTTCATCCTTCGCCGATATAACGAGGAGGATCGGAGTAGGGGGTGGTTGAGGGAGTCGAAAGGGTAGACCGCGCCCCGTGAAGGGTCATTGTGCGAGGCTAAAGAGCCTTCTTCAGTGTGCACTCGCGAGTAATTAGCATTGCCGCATAATTGAGAGGACTTTACCGATCTGGCCCGTAGGGGACGGAGGGTTCGGCGAGATTCGGAGGCATTGTTCGGGCGCGGGTATGCAGCCTCGATTCAGTCTTACCATTCGACGGCCGGAGAGGGTGCCGCGCGGCCGGAAGCCCCGAAATCTACCGCGACGTAACGTCGGAAGCTGGAATCGACCTCGATAGAGTTCGGTCCTCGGGCTTTCTCTCGCCCGAGCCCGGGGTAATCGGCGATTTCAGCGGATTTCGGGGAGATTGGGAATCGTGTGCTGACAAATCCGTATTAGATCGTGTAAACGGGGGCTCTCCCAGTCATCCGCTACCGGCTGAATGGATACGCGGCGGTTTCCTTGCGCGATTCGATTCAATTACTTGTTTCCACGTCTGTGTACACTTCTGAACAAACAGAGAGCCCGCGTAAGCCCGAATCGATCCCCCACCCCGTTCGGCGTCCACTCGATCCATATGAAATATTAGAGAACGATGGAACGTGGATGGAGTGCCGGCGCTTCCGCGAGAATTCACGCTCCGATCGGAAACGCGAAGGTTCTTCCGCGCACGCTTGCAGCGCGATCGTCTGCTTCTTTGCTACCCTAATGTTGCCTGACTTCGAAAACTTTTAATAGCACTCTACGAAACTGCATTTAGATCCTGTACGACATATCCGTTTGTCTGCATTTCAGCTCGATAGAAACGAGAGAAAGAAAGTTTCTAACCCCTTGATACTCATCCAGCACAATTCTCCCTGACGAGCGATAGGAAACATCCTCGATGGGATGTCATCGCCGAGCACCAGGATGGCGAGGATTCACGGGGATCAACGGGGTTCAAAGATGAGACTTGTAAAGCGGGCGCGACGTTGGAACCAGCGCGGATCCCGTCGGCTCGAAGTTACCATTTTTCATTAAGCCGGGCGTCCGTCCAGCGACTCCATATTTCAATCGGTTCAAAAAGTGCTGGCGCTGGCTGATGCGAGAGTTGAACAGGCAGGGAGCTCGTATAAAAGTGCGCCGCAAATGGGGTGGCGGAGCGCGTAACACGCGGTCTAGGAACACGAGGCTATACGCGCGTTCACCCGCGCGCAATTTGTTGTTTTTATGATTTACAGAGCCTCCCGTACAATAATTCAGTCGCCGGGCACATCCAGTCAGCCAGGCCGGTGCGCCAGCCGAAACGCAACCCTCTCGAGTTCTCCATCAGCAAAGTCCGCGGGGAGTCTCCGAACACGGCCAGGATACATCACCGATACACGCGTCCGTTATTAATTCTCGTCCGATGGCAACCGCCGCCCACCCGTGTACCCGCCACGGCCGCCCGCTACCCTTCTATCTCTCCCGTGTGTGTCTCGGGGTTTTCGCGCCTGCACGCACGGAAATTCGTGCCAGGACGAAGGAGGGATTGTTAGAGAGAGAATACACGAGTCGTCGCGGGTAAAATATCGTTCCGGTTTGCTTCGTGCGCGGCAACGTATTGCGGCTTGCCCGGCAGGGCGGACTACCCGTTTCCACGTAACCCCCCTTCACGGCCGCGCCCGGCTTGATTGATCTATCGCCGTTCAGTTTTGAACGATTTCGGAAAACTGTGAATCAAGCGGCGGGACTTTTCATTTTGCAAACTGGACTCGTCGAACTGTCTCCTTTCGTAGCGATTTTTTCCGGTGGAACTGAAGTCGATTCATTTCGAAAACGAGCTAATGGAATTCTTAAATCTCCCGTCTGTCGAGGTTGCTCCTTTTTCGATAAGAATTTTGATTTTGTTTATGTAGAGAGGAATTCGTTGAGTTCCTTTAGTATGGACCGTCGGTCTCTAAAGGAGCAATCGAAACAGGAAAGAGAATAAAATCGCAATAAAATAAAAGTTCGAACTGATGATGCGCGGAACTTTTGATTTTACTGATGCGATATGCGCTTCGAGCTGCTCGGTTACACGGGTATTTACAAGCTGTAATCGGGCGTATCCTAAATCTGGGTTTCCGAGTCTTAATTCGATCAAACTTTTATGGGACAAGTTGGACGGTAAAAGAAAAATTGTGCTTCCAGCAAGAGAAGAGAACACGCTCAAGAAAGTTACGAAATCCATGAAAACGTTAATAAAATTAGTTCCATAAATTTCGCGAACTTTTTAAAGAAATTGCGAGAACAAAGGCTGAACATATTGGCGAGCTCTAAGTTAATTCTGAAGTAATATTTTCTGTGGAGAAATCTAAAGAGGATCCACATTAATCAGGTTTCCCTGACAGTTAGCCATCCTTTCTCCTGGAAACGAGGAGAGGAAAGCGTGAGTTCGCCGCCATTACACTGATAATTGAAAAAAAAAATATATATATATATATAATCCGGAGCAGCGTATATCCCTCAGCTTCCTGAAACCATCTATTCCGAATCCGGAGCGAACAATTTTTTTTTTCGCGACATCAACGCAACATAAATCCTAATGGACCGACCGGGTGTATCGATCGCGCGGAACACTCGGCTACAAATCATCGAATTCCGGCGGAGGCACGGGTTACAGCGAGTTTTAAATAATAACGCGATTAACTTAACGCGATCGGGCGTCACGTGTGTGGCAACGTTGCAATATGTCCGTTTGATAATCCGATAATATCCATCCGACGGTGTGGACGTATATCGTAGCGCAGGGAGAACGTTCCATCGTTTTTCTGGCAGCACGTGTATTCGTTGAAACTCGATTCCCTGAGTGTGAGCCGGCATTGTTTTAGATTAAACGGACACGATCCTCCGGGCGTCGCGATGCTCGCACCGTAAAAGTCCTGGATTGACGATTTGATCCCTTGTACAGAGGAAAATCTCAGCGGAACCCGTCTCTCGCCTCCGAAACGTGCCGGCAATTTCTATACTCGTCACGAGATGACTTCCGAGAGAACAAGTACTCGAAGAACACTTATCCCACGACGTACCCGCGTTTCACGTGGAAAAAAATCATCGAATTAATTAAGCCATCGACTATTTCAGCATCCAAAAGTAAATCTCCTAAGTAATTCGACCGATGAGTTGACCAAGTAGATGAAACATCCCTTATCCCCTTTTCGTTTCGCACCTCTATCTTTCCTCTCCATTTCCATTGATTTCCATTAGCGCCGGCGAAGAAACACTCGGTACGATCGGGTGGACACTGGCCTGGCTGAACAGAGACTCCCCGGTCCCATTTACGTTCAACTTGTACTCGACCCATACAGGGACGGATACGTTCAGGTTCAACGGTACGATGCTGCATTACGTTCCAACCAGCGGCACGATACGTATGCATCCCGCGTAACGTATGCAACACGGGCCCGTGTACGGGGGTTGTACGGGGGTGTGGGCAGGAGGTAAATTGCTAAAAGATATCTCCCCCTTGGGATTCGACGGGGATAGGTTATAACCGGCCCTGACTCCGTCGGGCTTATGCAGAATACATTGCCTACGGTACGGTTCTCTTCGCTACGTAGCTCCCCTGTATTCGTTTGCCGCGTGCGTGGCCCGCGTGCGTGTATACATTCGGAATGGAGGGGGCGTAGGAACGCCGCATCGGCATCCACCCCCGGCCGACTATCCTGCCGTCCTCGCCAAACAGACAGCTATAGGCAGGAGAAAGCGTCGACGTCCCGCCGGGAATTGTTCAATTTTAGTTGAAGCTCATCTCCAGCCCACGGCGTGCAGGAAACGCGGAAACGCGTCCCCGTAGATTACGCAACCGTGCCGCGATCAACGGGGAAATATCACGCGGCGTTTCCTGCCGCCGTCTGACCTTAATTGGAAAGACGACAACAGGAAAGAGGGCGTCGAGGATCTTGAGCGACGACGGGGACTTCCGTCACGGGCCAAGGATGAACGAGCTACGCTTTAATAAGACCCTCCTCCGCGGGCTCTTTCTCTTATTTCACGGAATTTTGTTCTTATCCAGCCGATCTATCAATTATTCCGAGACTCCTCGTTCATGGTAGCCGCGCTCGGTCTTGCCTTCAAGTGGCTTAATATTTTCAATGTCGTTGGGAAATATAGCGAATTACCTGGCGACCCGTAGACGCGCAGATCTGCTTAGGTGAATTATTCAAATGGAAATGGAGAGTGTCTGGATGTGAAATTAACCAGGCGTTAAATAATGTTGCGCTCATTTCATCAATCAAGTTCACGTCCGTCTGCTCATGAATCGTTGATCCTACTGACTGAAAAATTAAACGAGTTCCCCTCTCTTCCTTCTATTGGGAATAAAAATTAAACGGCAGAGGTACTCCGTAAATAGTCCCACCCCCGGAAACCCCTGTAACTGCTATTAAACGGCATACCGAAAAATAGCATACTACTACGCGAAGCAATCAAACACGCTATTTCTGGAATGAGCACGTATTTCGGAATTCGTGTTGTATCTCGTTCGGTTGCACCCACACCGAGCGCCGTGCGCAAACGTTAGCTACTTGATGCATGGAGGCAAACAGCGAAGTTACACATAAAACAGCTGATAAATGGGCAAGTGGTGTTCCCAGGGACTTTAACCGTAACTATTTACCCGGCGAAAATAAAAATGTTCCCGACGAAGCCGCTGCAAAAATTGTACGTTCCCGAAAAATTTTGCGTTCCGCGGAGTAATGCCGGGATGATATTTCACCGGCGAAAGGGGTGGAGAGCGAAATTACGGTATAAAAATTTGGGAAGTGGCGTGCCATGGAAACCTCTAATGGTCCGAGTGCTCGATACTAGAGGCATTCGGCGTGTCGAGGCTCGATAAGTAAAAACGATCGAGCCCGGCAAAATGGAGGGGCTAGGGTTTTTCCACGGAGCCACCTGCGGATCGTTCATCATACCCGTAATGCATCGAGCATCCCCCTTTGGCCGAGGATCGGTCTGGTAGCGGGAGAACGATCTTTGACGCTTACAAGGAGCCACGGGCAATGCTCCTTCTCCCTTTCCCGCGGCGTTTTCCGGCCTGTCTTCCTGAAACCCTCCCGGGCACATCCCTCCGAGGAGAGACCACGAAGCTATGCAACCCCGGTAATGCGCGCATCAATAACCTATCATATCCAGCCTTCCAGATGCGATCCGATGTTACACGCCCTCCGACCCTTAAGACGTGCCCGCCCCCGATCACCTCGAGCTTGTAAACTCGGGTAAATGTATCTGCCCCTTGAACTGAAACCCTCGAACCGGCCGCAATCTTTCCGGTGGAGATTGCGGAAGAACCGGTTCGGTGACCGATGTGAAACGTGAAAGATAGAGAAGAAAGAATGAGCTGAAAGGCTTGGAAAAAAAGGGTGAAGTTTTCGAGTTGCTGGCAAACTAATCAAGAAAGCTATCTAACAAACGCAGGAATACTTGATGGATAGCACCGGGCAGCTGGGAAAATTGGTGTCCATGCAGCCATCTGGTGACGGGTGCGGAAGGTGTGATCACAGTGCAAAAGGCACGCCGCCGTGCCGCATTTGCTAGTTTCCAGCGTGGCGGTTTATCCATTATCAGTGGAAAAAGTACAAACACTAGCATAGAAAGGGTCGCGAGTAATTCCACAGGTGAAATTGCATCGGCCCGTTTTCCAATCACCCCTGCTGATCTCGATTTCGAATGGAATTGGGTGTATATTGATTGTTCGATTACACGTGTACACGTGTGGCGTACGTGTTACCCTTCGTCCATCAAATTTATTTTCGCCCGGCAAATGAATTGCTAATGCAAACGTGGGAAAGTACGGTATACCGATCGCGCGTGTTTCATCGGATCGCTGCGAAACGAGTGACTAGCGCAGAGAGAAGTCCTTTATTTTATTCCGCTTCTTTTTTCTATTTCATCACGCATCATTGGAAAATAATCTTCGTTCATTTGCGCCGTTCGAACGGTACGGTTCACGCAGCGCGATTTAACGGTTCGGGACCAAGTGCGAGGCAACATTTGTGCATCGAATATCGGGTGGCCGCTGGTCTTCAATTTATCACGGTACACGGAGATAAATTACAAGTGCGGTCAAAGTACTTTGTCCAGTAATATGTGTGTAATAAAGTGCGAACGTAATGAAATAAGCGCGCGGCTCGATGGTAACGCGCATTCGGCTGATTAAACGTGATACGTTGTGCTTGGCCCGCGAGGCTACGAGCTAAGTGAGGATCAATAGCGGGACTACTTCGGCTCAACTCGTTACCGAACGAATGGGCGGATAATCGAATTTATCGCTTTTAATTAGTTAAATATTGTCGAATAAACGGCGTTGCGTGCGCGGCGAAAAACGCTGGCTGGTATAACGGCCCGTGAATAATTTACTGTTAGTACGATTTAATCATAAAACAAGTGCATAAAATATTTACGATCCACTAAACTCCATTATTATACTTCTTAAATCGTTAAGCGTACTCACGTTTACGGTTTTGACCACCATCTCCTTGGTCTGCGGGTTCACCTCGCTCCATTCGCTGCCGTAGCACGGTCCATTGCCGAAGAACTGAAATAAAAACGAATGATATTTTACGGGTAGGGACAAACCGCGAGGAACAACAGTGCGAAACAAGCTTGACAGACGTTTTATACAATCGAACCGCAACGGGCCCCTTAATTAACGGTATCGCAATATGGGTATCGTACAACCTGTTAAGAAATTAATGAATCAGTCGGAATAATTAACCCGGGTCGGGTATCGTTGCATATATTTTCCCAATAATTGATTATATTTTCCCGTAATTAATAATGCTTCAATTACGAGGCCGTGCGAATTGCCACAATAACCGAACGATACACGTGTGTTCACAAGTAATGAATTAAACTCCTCGTGCTGCGCGATCCGTCCATTAATTTTTGCGACGCCAGCTCGAAAAAAATAAACATTTACGGAGCACAGCGAAATACGAGTACGCGCAGGTTGCAAATTTAAAATAAACATTCTCTGTTGCTGGTTTTTATTAACATTCCTAATGTGCCGTATTTTTCCCAAGGGAATTATCGATAATCGTTTATGCCTCTCAACGATATCCAATAAAGCTTAAAAGACGTTTACAATTAACACATTGAAAATAATGTGTATCGGAGCGCGTTTGTACTGGATAAATAATTACTGGAGATAGAAAATAATTGCCGAGCGTCTACCGGCAATGGCCCAATGAATATTAACGTTCCGACCGTCACATCACACCCGCGAATGGTGCCGCGTCTTTCTCCCCGAAGCAAAATATTAATAACCGCGGGAAAAATTTAATTAAGCTCCGCAAAAGTATAATAAATAAAACACGCGTCAGTTTACACGCGTTCCGTTTAACGGAACAACCCCGTGGAGGTGTTACGGGGGTTGGCACGACCGTCAAAGCGTTAAAGCGAATCCTCTCGTTCCAACGAATCGGGCAATTACTCCGAAATTTTCGTCGTTGCAGCGGCTGGCTGGCTGCTGGAAGACAGTTAACAACTGAAGAAAGAAGAAGGGGGATGGAGCGAGAGGAAAAAAGGGAACAGAGCAACTAACTCAAATCGAGACGAGCCTCCGCACTTTCCCTTCCCGTCAAGTAATTTCAAGAGTGCCTAAACGCGGAGCCGATCTCCACCCTCCGGCCACCCTACTCGGCCCCTTCGGCCCCTCCGTCGTTCCGTTTGCTGTGCATTCGTTATATACGGGACTGTGATTCGAGGCATTCAGGCGAGCGAGCCGGCACAACGGAACGGCTTTGCGAAATGGCCAAGCTTATAGAAAATCCCGCGAAAGGAAGCAATTCGCCGAGCCAAAAAGGATTCGAAGCTGGGATCCACCACCCCCACGCCTCCTCCGCTGGCGTTGGATTCGGAAGGAGCACGGACGAGGAGTGGGAAAGACTCTAAGAGAGCCTGGTATGTATTCCAAAACGCAGCCGTCTAGCTGGATGATTGCCAAAGAACGTAACACCGAGAGGGAGAGAGAGAGAGAGAGAGAGTGAGGGAGGGAGGGGGGTCTCGCTCATTATCAAAGTTGATACTGTCGATGTCGTTGTTTTGTAATTTTCTGCCTCGAGTCCGCCCATCCCCGCCCCTCGACCTTTCTTCACCCTCGGAGGGCTGATCTTTTTGCACGGTGTTGTCGAAAGTTTCGAATTTCCTGCTGTGCCAGTGCCTGGTGTTTGTATAGATTGCTCGGTCAAACGGGTAGAGAACTGTTTTGTCTATAAACCGGCGCCCGGCGAAGAAAGGGATGCATAACCCCGTGTGTGGATTGATTTCTTACGAGGGGGTGGCTGAACTTTCGAGTAAATAAACTGAGGGAGGGCTGCCGATGCGGCGCGCTTAAAACGAAAGTTCCTCGCCCATTGTCCTGCCTGATTGATTACAACGGGCCCGGGCAAAGCTTTCCCACCCCGCCTGTGCTTTGATAGCGAACTTTAACCCTCGCGGAAAGTTATGAAACACGGAAGTTTCGTTTGGGACTCGGATTGAGCCGAGCTGCCTCTACGCGACCGTAGAGTTCCGATTGTTTTGATGGACTGCGCGGGTTAAGTGAAAAATACTGGCCGTGTTTTGTTATGGGAAGAATCGTTAATCTTTGAGATCTCGACGGACACTCCGAGCTACGTGTCACTACTGTGAACCTTCGAAACTAAGCGTCAGCTTCGTTTGCGTCAGTTTGTAAATATAACGCTATTAAACCGTTAATAAATTGTAGACATACATGTAGCTGTGTGTACAGAAAGCAACGATCCGAAGTCTAACGCAACGTAACAACAGACCAAGTTAGTAATGAAGTTAAATAAAATATTTTCTGTTCTCCGGCTTGCTGTTTCATAAATTAAGTACTGGTATTAAGGTAAGCGAAACCATTCCGTCAAGGTCGAATGAAGCGGCTGTACGAGTTATGTAAGTTACCCCGCTGGTCGGGGATTAAAGATTAACTGATATATGGTCTGGTCATAGACATGTATATACTACTTCTGGATTACGAGAGGAACAACGGAAACCTCGACTGCGTGAAACATAATCTTATCTCTGGGCAGCAGATATTTAAACAAACAGGAGCCGTAGTAACTTACCAAACCTGGACAAACATTGCAAAATCTCATCAGATTCTGCGTCAATCAGAGATCTCATTAGCCTTTTAATCCAACAATCTACAAATTATTCGAACCGTGCGAAGTGCATTAAGTTCGTGGAACACGTATGACGCTGTTATGTGCCCAAAAATGAAACCTGTTACATAAGCCTGATCGTGTCTTCCTCATTTGCAGTTAGAGGCACATAGCCAATAATCTTTCACGTATTCAACGGACGCTGCTGCACGTGATATCACGAACAGATGGCTAGAGACATTTTGCGCAACTTTACGTAATTTCCAGTGATGAAAGAATTTCTAAGAGATCGATCTGAGACTTAATTTTATTCCTTCTATTAAAATGATTCAATATATATTCAAATATGTAAATCATTGCGCGTTTTTTGGCAATAGAAAGGTAAATGAAAATTCATAATCTAATGATAGATATAAAGGATGGTGTAATTTTTAATCGGGAAAAACCGAAGGTCTTCAAGGTCATACTTTGGAATGAAGGCACAAAGGTCATTCTGATAAAGTAGCTTTTGGACGAACAGCTTTGTGACCTCTCCACAAGAGCGCGTGGCAGTAATCGATAAGCCGTGCCATGGATAAGTTTCGGGAAGGTTAATAATGCCAATTCCTGCTCTGATCGACCATTGAAATCAAGTACTTAGCAACCTTGCGATGACACCAGCGCACAAGTGGTCGTACCATGTACTACATCGAACTTACTCGAAAATGAAGAAGTTCGACCGGAATAATGCATGAAAATTTCCCAACATAATGCTCTTTAATTATGCATCAACTTTTCATTTTCAAGCAATTGGGAATTATATGTAAAGTAACTGTATCAAGTATTAATTTCTGAGCATGAGCTCAAGGTACAAGAAGAATGAGAACGTTTAGCATTACAAGTTTGATAGAAGTGCTTGTTAATTAATTAAAATAATGATACTGATGATAGTGCACAGCTCTACAAGATTATGATTAGAATAACTGATAATATCGAATAATTTAATAGATAACAAGATAACATAGTAATGCGATTAAGTTAGTCCTATATAGATAAAATCCTCAAACAGTTGAAGAATGCCTCTGATATATTTAAATAAGAATATACTATGAATTATAAATAACTGCACTAAATTTGTACTTATACTATCATATGACAAATGCAGTACTATATTCTTCTTTCGTATAGAAATGACCTGGGTAAGTAAATGACGATTTATGTAATAAGTATACTTGTATATAATTACATTGTTTTAATTGTATTTCCCTAAATTTGTAAGGTTTAATGATTAATACAATAAACAGTTTAGTAAGGTATTTAAATTAGGAGGTTATGTTCTGGAGTATATAACCTAAATTGTATTTGGAAACTTACCGAAGCAACCCACCGTGGTAAACGCCATTCAGTTGTAACCAATCTATGTGAATATAGAATTCCTTTATCAACATGTCTCTCGATGACATCCGTCCCCAAAACGGAGGGATTCAATGGATTTGGATATTTTCGATAAGCAGCTTGTACTACAGTGTCCCATGGATGCCTGTAAATTTAAATGATATTTGAATCCTCAAACATTATAAAACACAACCTTTGATTCTCATATTAATGATGAAATATTAGGAATGCCAATCCTAGCCTAAAACAATAAAAACGAACAAACATCTTCACATAGCACTCACTCAAAGATGTGATAGGACGTCCAAACTTTCATATTTGTAGATTTTCTTTTTTAATTATGCACACGAAACAATACTAAAATTTAATGAACGCGGGACATGAGAAAATAACACACAACTCCAGCACAGTAAAGCACGTCCACTACGAATGAAACCTACGTTACTTAAAGGACAGTACAAAAGAACGCAATGAACTTTATCCTTTTAGTTGGTAGTCAGCGCTTTAATGTTGGTAGGCCTGTCAATACTGCTTGATCATTATATCATTGATACTACATCATTCGATGGATAACATTGGCTACCCTGCTGTTCAAAATAAGTTCGTCGTGTCGATACATTCAATTTCAGTTAATTTCATTTAAATAAAATGCTGAAAACGTGATTCATCTTTATATGATCAGTTTCAAAAGAGCGCAATTTTAAATTTCGCGCGTAATTTACGCGCCAATGACGCGCACACTTTAAATAATTATAAAATTTATTTCGAGGTACACGCTTAATAATATGCATAAATAATAATGTTATAATTTATACCGTAAATTAAAGTAGAGTTTTAGAAACGTAAGTCATGTTGCAATAAATAATAAACCGTCTTTTGACTAGTTTAATGGTAATCTTCGCAATGTTTAAATATTTCGATATATCGAAGAGCGCGTTAGCAAGATGGGTCCAGCGCGCGAACGTGTCCGATTAAATAAGTGCTTTTTAATGGTAATTAATCTTTGGAAATCATATTATATGTATTTTAATTATGTGAAAAAGACTCAAGAATCATTCAAGAAGAAATTAGCATCTTGAAAACCAAATGGTAAATATGTTTTAACGTTTTCTTCTTTCCGAACCAAACTGCCTTCATGGCGTCCTGGAAAAGTAAAAGAATATTAATAAAAATCAAATAAATAAGAAACATTGACCTAGAAAAACGGAAAATAATTAAATGAGATTTCGAAAAGCATTATGTTTACTATTTCGGAATTCTTAACCTTGTTATATTTATCATATACACATGCGTTTCTTATCCATATGATGAAGTACTTTTTATCGTTTTTTTATTATTCTAAGGACACACAAAGTGTGTATAAATGAATGAAAACGGTAATTTTAACGTTAATAATTTGCGTTTACAATTCAAAAGGATTTCAGAACAAAATTCATATTTTTAAGGACAATATTATCCCTCATAGTTAATGTTTTACCAGTGTGGTGATTAGAATACATAATACACCTCACCACAAATAGCTTGCAGTTTTCGCTGCCCTGACCTATCTCTGATAAATAATGGTACTGCAGGTTGTGGTCCCTTATGATTCATAATAACATTTTCAGCAGACTTTAATGCATTATAAATAAGTTTTGATTTTGGTGCCCTGGTTAAATAAACTACACATTGCCCCAACAGTAGATCGCACTCAGGCATTCCAATCATTTGACATCCGTGCATAGTATGCACGGCTATTCCTATAATAAAGAATTTCAATATTAATAACATTTGCCTACATATGAATTAACGTCAATGAATTTAATAATATATTACACATACCCAATGCATCAGGATCTTCCAAGCCAATATCTTCACTTGATATTCTGACCAAACGTCTTGCTATATCTACAGGATCTTCTTTGATCGCCATAATCCTTGCTAGCCAATACAGAGATGCATTTGCATTGCCACCTTTTATTGATTCATGCAATGCAGAATATAAATGATGAATATTATTATTTTGTTTATCAGATAATGTATGTGATTGTTTGAGACTTTCTTTAACATCTTCAAGAGTAATTGATACAAAATTGGAAGCATCAAATTTATTTAGTACTTTAGTTCTAATTGCTAGGTCCAAGCTATTTAATGCTACACGTGCATCTCCATCACATACTTCTGCTAACCATTCAATTACTGTTTTATTAATTATAAAATCTCTCTTTGGATATGAGTCGGTCTTATCCTTTGAATTATTTGTCAGACTTTTATTTTGTGGGTCATTTATTTCTCCATTTATGGATAAAATTGCCTTACAAAGGATTTCCATTATATTTGATGTTGTTAATTTATTCAAAGGAAATACACGACATCTACTTAATAAAGCAGAATTTAAACTGTAAGATGGATTTTCAGTAGTAGTTCCAATTAATGTAAATGTTCCTGCTTCTACATGAGGTAAAAAGATGTCTTGCTGAAGTTTATTAAAACGATGTATTTCATCCATAAATATAATAGTTTGTTTATTTAATTTTGTTCCATCCTTTGCTTTATCAACAACTTGCCTAATATTATTAACACCAGAGGATGTGGCAGAAAGCTTTACAACTTGTACTTTATCACCACATATTTCTTTGCTCAAACGTGATATAACATTGGCTAAAGATGTCTAAAAATGTTTAAAATAATAAGTATTATCAATAACCAACAGTTAATATTTATGTTACCTTTCCACATCCTGGTGGACCCCAAAATATCATGCTAGGAATATGCCCATTAGTTAGCAATTTATACAGGACCTTATCAGAACCAATAACTTGTTCTTGACCTATGTAATCAGTGAGACAAATAGGTCTCATTTTCTCAGCAAGAGGAATATGCTCTTTATTTGACATTGCTCTTTGTTCATTGATATTTAATGTCCTTGTTATAGCATTTGCTTTGTATTTCTTTGCTGGATTTGTTACTAGTGTTTCCCCGGAAGGTAAAGGTCTCTTTGGTCCTTCAGAAAACTTGTCCAAAGATGCATCAGTTGCAGAAAAACATAAATCAATATGATTTTTTATATCATCAATAGCATACTCCTTTCTACATATTGGACACAACATGTTCAGTAGCACACATTTGTTTCTGTAAACATTGGAATCATGTTAAACATTCAGGCTAGTATGATATATGCCATCTATTCAATCTTTCATTCTAAATAGTTGGTGAAACTTATTACTTACAGTCTCAGTTATAATTATTTATAGCAGACATCTCAGGAAACACGTTTTAAATTCCAGTTATTCTGCATCAAAGATTATCTTATAGTGAAAGTCACAGCTGTATGAGTCATAGTGCCATCTGCTGGTCAATGAACACAGATGTCCATAGACATTCAGTCTTTATAGATTTGTGTTATTTTCTTCTCTTTGTATAATAAAACAAATTGGATACTATCAATTAAAAACATGTTTCTTTAAGTAAGTCTATAAAAATATATAAATGCAAAAAGTCTTCAAGATTTGATAGTTATGTATCCTATACAATAAACATCAATAGTTTAAGCAATACATTAAGATCACTTTTTTACAGAATATTATTGATCAAGAAAATTACTTATTTACTTGATAATAAAAAATGTCAAATGCATGGAACAAAAACATTTACCGCCAAGAACAGGAGGCATTTGTTTCTAATCATGGTGGAACTACAGCCAGAGAAGTTGTGTATGCGATTATGCCAAACATATGTAGTATTCTTTTAACTATTACTACACTAGGTCTACTAAGAAATTTAATTCATAAGAATGTTAAAGTGCTGGTAGAATTTATACTACTTATAATTCCAGCTATCTTATGTTGCACTATATTATCTGAATATATTATAACTGTGTGTTGTGCCATGTTATCAATATCTATTATAAATATTTTATTATTGGCACTTAATTCAAACTCATCTAGTTACAGTATAAAACCTAGTCAGGTTAAAAAGCCTTTCATTACTAATTTTAGAGCAATGACTAATATTATAACAACGATATGCATATTAGCCATAGACTTTCGTATCTTCCCACGAAAATTTGCCAAGACTGAGGTATTTGGGTATAGTTTAATGGACACTGGTGTTGGATTATTCATATTATCAAATGCCTTAGTAGCACCAGAAGCTAAAGACTTTGCTCCTAAACAGAGAATAGGATTCGTTCATACATTATCCAGAAACATTAAACAATCTGCAAAAAGTTGTATTCCACTATTAATACTGGGTTTCGGTCGCTCTGTAGCTATTGAAGTAATTGGGTATCAGAAGCATGTGACTGAATACGGTATTCACTGGAACTTTTTTATAACTCTTGCCTTTGTGAAACTGTTCACCAGTTCCATAACCAGTACTATCAGCTCAAAATATTCTTTGTTATCTGGTGCATGGATTTTAACAATGCATGAATACATTTTGAGTACCAAAGGGTTGAAGGAGTGGGTGTTGAGTAACAAACCGAGAGACGACTTTGTATCCGCTAATCGCGAAGGAATGGTATCCGTGCCCGGATATGTGGGACTTTATTTAGTAGGTGTAGCTGTTGGCAGATTGATACATTCCACGTATTATAATTCATATGTACAAAATTCAATGCAGTACAAGCATACAACGTTTCACGTGAAATTATTCGGGTACGGACTAGATGCGAGTTATAACGAATCCATGATATTATGTATTAAATTGTCTTTGATAGCGGCGCAAACGTGTGCAGCTACTTTGTTCTGCGATTCGTATTTTAAAATATCTAGACGCTTGGCGAATGCAGGGTATTGTATGTGGATACTTACCTTAGGTGTAATGGTACTTACGTTATTGTTACTGATAGAAGTAATTACGGATATCCTAATTTGTGCAACTACATCCGTAGATAATAGTACAGATAGAAAGACCAAAACGCACAAAATGGACGCAAGAAATAAACGGGAACGCGTACCCGACGAATGCGAGAAAAGTACGATCGGCAACACGATCGAAATATTCGAAGCTGTAAACTATAATGGTTTACTCTTTTTCTTATTGTCCAACTTAACCACCGGGGCTGTTAATATGTCAGTATCCACGTTATACGTAAGTCAGCCGAGAGCCGTACAAATACTCATTGCCTACATGGCTCTAAATATAGTACCAGTTTTATTCCTCTACAGGAAGCAGGTACAAATTAAGTTATAAGATTCGTTGCGCTGACTACGCGTTAGGGGACAAGATTTTGTATATCTGCAGGCCAAATATACTTACAGTGTTCGAATATTGTTACTGCCATTGGACATATCACTTTGTATTCCATATTTATTCCATTTTCTTTTTTTAATCAAAATAAGTGTGTATGTACATATATCAGTATAAAAATAAGTAAAGAGCTTGATTGGTAACAAGTCGTTTGTTTCGTTCAATTGTAACACTAGCCTATCAAGTATTAAAATAGTTCGTTGTTAGTGAAATTCATTGCCTAGAAATTCATTTATAATTCATCTTTGGATTGAACTACGGGCTTCAGTTCGGCTTGATCTTCCGACTCGGGCGTTTCGATCTTCTTAACGTTACTCGCACTAGTTTCGTTTTTCACGTCGGACCTCTTACTTCGCGCCCCTTTGCTTACAAAATTCTTGAAGCCCTTGTGATTCTTCACGTGATCCCCAGCTTGAGCAACCATACGAAGGAATTCGTCGACGTCGAAACTGTAATTCGTGAATTTCGCGTGAGCTCCGCCATCGGGATGCGTACCCTGGATATATAAATGACCTTGTTTGAAGGATATTAAATAGCACCGTTATCTGAAATGTATAAAATCCAGATTATCGCTTACGGGATCCTGCTGCACCAATTTCGATGCATTCTCCCACGTGAAGTACCTCACTCCCCGTAATCGTGCGAGATCCTTGTAACAACCTGGATCCTCGCAGTTGTATCTAAATTACAATCAGCCGTAAATCGACAAATAATAGTTGAAAAATGAAATAACTTGTACGCACATTTCAAAGACAGCCGCCCAGTCTGGTAGAAACATCAAATGCGTCAGTCCAGCTCCATGAATTCCTATAAAGATATCGGAATTCCTCGTAATCTCTAGTTGCTTCTTGAAGGGAACCTTTTTATTGTACACTACCTGGAATAACATAATTGATAGTATCACCGTTGAGCCTGAAATGATTTCACCAACTGAACCAGTTACCTTTCTAACTTTATACTCCGGATTCTCCTTCAACGCTTTCACTAGTTCGTCCTCATTTAAAATCCTTCTGTATTGCGTGTCTCTGCTGAGCAGAGTCACTCGTATCCTTTGGTTCTTCCTTTCCTGAAGAGGTATTCTCAGCCTGTGCAACACGTGGTCGCCGAACGCCTTGAACAGCCCGCTCTTCTCACAGCCGTAAATCTAAAATACCGTTCCGACCGTCAGAAAAGAAAGATTCGAAGCGACGACTCCCCCGCGAGACAAAAAATATACTACTAGAGGTGTGTTGTAGTAGAGACCAAAGATCATGCGCGGCAGTAACGGGAACACGAGGTTCTTGAAGCAGACGGTCTCCCCGCGGAACGTTTTTAAATCCCACAGCGGATTTCTCGTGAAAGCCTCAAAGGTGTCCTGGAACGCGGAGCGGTAACTGAAAGTGCGAGAACCATTTGCTATCTAATATCTCTCGGTTTTTCTGTTGCGCCGGTGTCAGTTACCTGTAGCTTTCCCAGATCATTACGTGATTATCAGTGCTGAAGGCGGCGGGGTGCGAGAGGTTTACGTGCAATGACGCGTACAAATTGAAAAAGTCGCAAAAATGATGGTACATGTTTACTACTGAAACAAAATGACTTCAACGAATGAGCGGACGACAAAACATTCTCACGTGGGCCACGCTCGCGTGATTTTACCGTTCAATCATTTTTTTCTCGTCACTTACTGGCGTCTATCTTCATTATGTACGTCGGCTTCTCGATCACTATATCACAGTCGCCGTTGCCAATCGGCGGTCTAGGCAACTTCCGGAAGTTCCTTAATTCGGGCCCCCACGACTGCAACGGACTGATATGGTCCGCGTTCTTTTGCAGTCTTTTCTCGTTCAATCTGTGCATCGTCGTGGCGAATGGAAAAATCAACAATTTGTCTTCTAATTTTCCCCTACTCGACTTACTTGCAGTATCCGCCGATCTGGCCTTCTTTCAACACGTCCATTTTGTAGCGTATCGGTTCCTTCCTTCGGAACAGGTCCGTGAAATTTATCATCACATTCCGCGCTCTACAAAATCTCATGTGCTCCGAGCATTCCAAGGACGAGTCTTCCTTTAATGAGAAGCTTCGCGTAAACAGGGATCAGGAGAGAGCATTGCAATATTCCTTTGTTCCTTTGACGTCGACAAATATTTACCAAAAACAGCGGCTCGCAAAAGATCGACATTTCTTTCCGCTGATCGCGCACGTAACCGAAATCCCCTTGAGCGTAGAACGTGTCTAATTGCGCTTTCTTCGTGGTCACCCATCCTTTGTGGTCGCCCGGGCACTCGGCGATCGAGAACGCATTTTCCGCTTTGCAGTTCGGCTCGTAACCCCAGCAAGCTTCGGTGTCAAGGCTGTCCTAAATTGATCCAACAGAAATCCCTCTTAACACGCGGAACGTGTGAATTATCGGTGGACCGCGAGTTTTAGCACTTTCGATTTTTCGAATAATCCCGACGTACAGAAACGTTCAAGAAATCTTAACTTAACAAAAGAGATTTCTATTTCCTTCGAATATTATATGCGACACCTCTGCTATAATAAAAACAGTGAATCAACACGATTTCCGCGGAATCAATCTACGAAAGCCCACGTCTGCATCGAGATTCGAAGGCCACCGTTTCCTCGTGACGCTTCCTCGCGGTAATTGCATAATTAATCCACGGTGAATTACCTTGTACGGGCAAGCGGTGTTATTGCGGCACTCTTCGGCGACCGTGGGAAAAGAGTTGAAGTAGTACTTCATGTGATCATCTGGCAGATCAATGTCCGAGTAATTGGCAGGAATGGCAGTGACCGCGAAAACTAGAACGACCAGCGTCGCACATTTGCCGAGGAGCGTTCGATCGATCATCGTGGTGTGCGCCAAGGAAATAAACCGGGGTTCCCTGGGGAAAGGTGGGCTCCGTTGCGGCGGTGCCCGTTGCACGGCGTGAATGGAGGAGGAACCACCTGTAGCGATGGGTATATGACCTCACCTTCTGTGTGTTCTCTGTCGCACGCAGCACGCGTACACCCACACGGACGCGGGAGGTATCGCCTTAAAAGAATCGGTGAAAGTCAATGCTAGCTGTTAGAGGGACACGAGGTGTCTTACATCATTCGTCATCGCCGCTGCGTACCCACCTGTTACCCTTGAAAATTTTTCAACGAGGTGATCAATTCTATCGGGATGCTCCGTTTTATTTTTGAAACCATACCGGCATTCCGTGTCCTCCTCGCCGAAATCGATAGTACAGCCAGACAAGCGTCCCGCGTACCGCACGTCGAACAAAACAAACGCCGTACTCACGTGTACTCGACGAACGAGAGTGCGCGGTAGTCCGCACGTTTTCTCACCTCTTGCAAGTAGGAGACAGGATACCTTGCGGTACAGGCATCTGACTTTATTTGCCTCTCACGCACGCTTGATCCTTCGACTGTGTGCGCGCTTCAATATGGCGGACCACTGTCACGGCTCTTCGAACGATGCGTTTTCGCTTGGAAAAAGTACTCGAGGGATTACTGATACGCTCATCGGGGAAGCGGACGGTACGCAGACTTTTTCGATGCTTCTTGCAGCTTCGGTTGATGATAATTTAGCCGTGAACATTCGAATTTCTTGTACACACTGTTTGAATCTCTTCCCTGCGACGCCTCGCACGTGAGACAGTAAACTACTCTGGTAGTCCATCTATAGGTGGCTTTGGAGCAATAGCCAGAGACTCTGTGCCTTGCGCTACGGTTCCCCATGTTTTCAACGTTCGATGATGGTTTCTCTTCTTCGCCGCCTGACGATTCGTTGCCGGCTGCTCCCTACGTGATCGCCAGTCGGTTCAACTTGCTGGTCAAAGGTAAAGCAGGTCGCGGAGAACGTCAGCGAGTAAATTTCCAACAATTTTTGAAAACGTTCGAATGAATTTCGAAATGGAGTTGGAGACATTGTTCGGTAACGTTACGTTGTTATTTCCTGAAAATTCGCTTCGTATCGGTTTCAATTATCCAAACACTCCATTTCAGAAGTGTTAATCGATTCGTCCGAATCCTCTGTTCGTTAATGAATGCGCATTTCGTTGTCGTTCGTTAAATCATTCCACTTTTTATTCAATATTCAGACCGAATGGTTGGCAGAGGCCAAGATACACGCGTGCAGGGTAGCCAGATCTTATAAGGAATCGTTCTGTCGTGGCAGCGCTATTGTCTACGACGGGTCAGAGTGATGGCTTCCGTTATTCGGGATGTTTATACGTGAAATAAACGCGGTATCGGCTCCCGATAAGCCCACGAGACGCGCCTTATGCTAATTCCCCCGCGGATACGTCAAAAACCGTTCGGACGTATACGGTAAAGGCAGAGTTCGGTCTTCTCCCGAGGCGTGGCCGATGTAGATCGTATCTTCGGAGTTTATACGATTTTGCTCGTCGAAGAGAGATGGAGAGAGGGAAAAGAGATTCGAATCTAAGGGTCTCTCGGTGTGCTGTTCGCTTTGAAAGACAGCGAGTCCCACACTCGGCTAGGCATGGGATCGTTACGTAATCTGGAAGACTCGGATAGCTGAGGCGGCACACTCGGTTGGCTCTCGCAGGTGTCTTTATCGGTTCGCCGGCGTGCCGTTTCTGTGCAATTAAAGCCTGGTTTGGCGCAGGTCTTATTGTGCGGTCAACAAAAGGGGGAACTGGCGTACCGGGTGCTCCGAGAAAGTAATTTATTTGGCGCAACGTTACCTTTCTAATTTCATTTTTCGTATCCTCCGCGCCGGCTGCCCCGGCAAACTTGGATAACCGTCTTAATGTATGTGGGAACACAATGGACGCTGAAACCGCGGTGTAAAAGTCCGCGCCGACGTGCTCGGCCCATAAAAGTCGGATATTCAACAGTCGTCGGGGATAACTGTGATCTGAAATCTATTCCGGTTCTATCCCTGGCCGTTGGATTCCGCTGCGGGATCATGTTCCGCGGTGCCGATCGAACGAGAGAGGAAAACTCCTGTTTGCGTTTCGCTGTTGCAAATCGTCCCACGAGCGAATCACGATGATCCAGGAACCGATGCTAATCGATGCCTGGGAGTCGAGATATCGGTTAGGGACGAAGGAGTATAGCCACCTCCGGCGTCAACCTGCCATGGCGTGACCCGGAAATGGATCTCGTCGAACCAGCCGTGTATACGTAGTCACAAACACGTGTACTTACCTGTAGACGTAGACCGTCGGAGACACTCCGGGCCGGCCGGCAAGGATTGCCGTGGATAGATGAAGGAAATGATCTACATCGATCACGATCACGGCACCCTCGCCCCGATATCCCGGGCCCGGCCGCTGTTACAACGGTACCTCATCGTTGTTCATTATCGACGAAATCGCCGTCATCTTTCTTTCTGATAATTTTATCATGTCTGAATCGGGATCCCTGTCCGGCTCGATCTGATCGGGAAGCATTGATCGGTGCCCCCTCCCATCCCGATGAAAAATACTGTTGGCCGCAATTACTGAATCGAGCCCGGGGTACGGGGACTAGCCGAGCCGAGCCGAGCCGAGAGAGCCGGGTCCGCGACCCACGCTCGCGAAGAATGGAATAATGGTGCCCGTAACGGAGTATTCCGCGCGATCAATTTCGCGACAACGGTTGCGCAACCGTTTGATAAACTCGCCCCACGTGGAACTGTAACGCGCATAGAAGTGTATCGCGCGTGCGAGTTGTAAAACGAGCGCGTGGCATCGGTGTAACGCGGATTGTCCCGCCACGGTGGCGCCACGCTTCAGAGGCGACACGACACAACCTACGCGAAATTCTACGCTATAATGTTCCCTCATAGAGTCTTGGGGTTCCTCCCGCGGAGAAAACCGTGGGGGCGGCGCGTCACCGGACAATTGCAACGGGTGTCTTGCGAAACCAGAACATGAGACGCCCACGCTACCCCGAAAAAGAACAAGAGCTGCAGGAGGAGGAGGAAGGGAAAAGAAGAATCGAGAGAAGAGGGAGAAGGAAGAACACCGAGAGCGACGAATACAAATTTCCCCGGACGCAGCATAGTTTTCGTTACGCCGGGCTCTCCCGACCACCGAATAGTTGCGACTGCCAACCTGCGCGGGCCGCGCTACGCGCCGTATATTCTCGTGAATCTACCTGCCTCTTTTCTCTTGCCTGCCCACGCTGTCCCATTTGAATACGCGCGCAAACGTAAACTGTAACGATTGTCGTCCCATCTGGGCAGACGGGAGAACGGTCTATGGGCAACGATGCCGGTAGAACGATCGTAAATCGGTCCGAACGAAAGAATCTCCGTGGAACGCTGGAAGACTCGGCGTCGCGAGACGCGCGAGTAATTCGCCGAACGCCGATCGAAAGGATAATTACCGTGAAAGTGTAATCTGTTTACACGCCTCGCGGCGCGGAGCGGCGCGGAGCGGCGTGTAACGGATCGCGCGGTAATGGAGAAACCGCGCAGTGGTCCGTCCACATTTATAATGAACCGAATTAGAATCCGATTATCCCGATTGCCTCGCCGCTGCCCTAGCCCGTAGGATAGAGGTTCGCCCGGCGGCGTCAGACGCGAGCCAAAGAAATTCCATCACACGCTAACCTCTCGTTAGCGACGCCGGACTAATCGCTTAATTAATAGATGATAAATGTTTGTAATTCCCCGCGGCGGAGTCCGGCGAGCGCACTCCGCGCGCGGTTCGTTACCGCGGCCAATTAATTACACGACCGAGGCCGATTAAAACGGAGACCTGCAACCGACACGCTGGACAAAAAGCCGCGCGTACGTGGCTCACGAATTTTCTTCGCGGCCGGCCACGAGACGATTTATCCTCCGGCGTCGCCGGGGTCGCGGGGTTACGGTTCCTGATGTCGCGGCCATGAAAAAAACGCGCGAACCTTAAAATATCGCATGGGGGCTGGCGCGAAGTGAGTTTAAGGTTTCCTCCGGCCGGTGAAGGATCCTTAAATTCCAGACGCCGCGGCCGCTTTCGAAACCGTACGACGCGACTTCAAATAACTCTCGAAACTCCCAGCGGGTCATAAAACACTCCCCATTGAAATTAATTTCGATCGGCCCGCCGATCTTCGCCGGTTTAGCGAAATACCATGGAAACCAGACGCGACGCGGCTCGGCGCGACGCGAGCTGACGCGAACCGACGCCCGGAATGCGAACGTATTTTAATCGGGAATTTGTCGCGGCTCGGTGCCGAGATCCTGTTATCCTGACGCAATAACGATGAAAAATTGCTCGGGCGGTTTGATCGGAAACCGCGGAAAACAAGGATCGTTTAGCGATAAATAATGCCCGGGCGTGATACTCAATTGAATCGAGTCCCCCTTTCTACTGTCGCGCCACACTCTCGGCCGCCGCGACGTTGATTTTGCATTATATGCAGTCGTAAACACACATTACGCCCGTAATGCCGGGCATTATGCGAGCACCGCCGATAGAATGCTCGAACTGATGAAGCCGCAAAACGCTGAAATCCCTTCTGGGGAACTCGTCGCGGTAGATTGCGCCGTCATAAAAGACACATTAATGATAATCATTTTATTATGGTAAATCTATTCCGGAATTACGTTAGGAATGCTGCTTACGGCTGACCGAGATGTCGTCGGGCACAATGACAAAGTTACCGTTCATTATGCCCACACTCGACCGCGCTGCCCGATCGTAAACGGGAGTTGGTAATTGAAATATTAATGAGAATTGCTGCGGCTGTGTTGACCCTGTGTCGGTGTTGGTAGCGGGGAGAAGGCTTGGTCACATTAATATCACCGTACACCGACAATGTGAACGGGTATCGGTGGCACGGGGAATCTAACGAATTATTATCGCTTCCCGACTCGATTACGCCGTGGCCATAAATCAAACCTTTGTCACATCATCCATCTTAAAAGTGTCTTAATCTCGTCGGACACGACTACCATTTTCATCCACGGAATTCATCTTCTGAATTCTAGGTCTCCCGGTAAAGCATGCATAATCTGCTGTCAGGACTAAAGCGTCGTGATATTATCGTCGCAAGTGTAAACTGTTAAACTCATCGTACGCGAACGAATGATTTAAAAGGTACGTCGCGTATTTGTATCTACGAAGAAACGTACCACCAAGTTGGATCGTAAGCAATGCACATTCCATTGGCTGGAATTGGGGCATAGCGTTGTTAAGAGAAAGAACAATTAAACGCTCCTGCTACGCTCAGAGTTGGACACGGCTCGTAGCAATGTCAGTGCGCGCATTTTTGCGCGCGTTCCTTCCGCGGCGGAATAATCGTGAGTGCGAAGCCGAGGTTAGGCAAAAAATCGAACCACCGTGATGGACACGAACTGTTCGGCGTCCCTTTCGATGATAAACGCGCGAGGCATAGGCGAGGCAGCGCTAGGAGACGTTTTTGCCAACGTCAACGACAACTTGTCCAGCAGTGTTCACGATTCGACCTGGGCTACGACCTCGGCGTCGTAAATTTCGCGTCATAGCGGTTGTCACCGGCTCACCTTTTTACGAGCGTACCATGACTCGTATTCACGGTCCGCCCGAGATATATCCACCGCTGCGAACCAATGGATTGGCCGGCAGTTGTTAAGAGGATCCTTTGGTTGGTAATCCCTGACAAGGACCCGGTGTCCCTCCCAGGATGCGTCTCTTCTTACGTTTTCAAGAGTATGACCGCGTCATGAATCAAACCGA